ATCTTTAGAAGCCGCGCCAACCTGAGCCCTCTTGATTACATTTTCTATCACTTTTCGGTAGATTTCGGGAGGAATCTTTTCAATTGCTTCCGTAATATTGTTTTTCAGCTTTTTTACAGTATTTGGTTTGCTGGCATAAAATACTGTAAAGGGGTTTTCAAAAATCCCCATAAAAAGAGTCAGGAGCCGCTAAATACGGTAACCTTAGCGGCCAGTTGACATCACCAAATCAACAAATCAAACGTCCCGGAAATATTGTTCGCAATGTTTCCCAAGCTGTGTGATAAGTTGCTCCCTCCTGCTGGCACCACATCTTGATTAGATTTCAGCAGCCAGAAAGCTTTACACAATATCACGGTAGCGCTCGCCAGTAACAGTAAGAGAATTTCCTGCAGCGTCTTCGAAGAAGTAAGATCCAATGACACCTCCATACCAAACACCGCACCAAAATGTGACTAGATGAGGATGTAGTGGACGTTGGTGGATGACACGATGGTTTTCTAATGCCCAGATATGACAATTCTGCTTATTAACAAATCCGTTCAGATCAAAGTGGGCTTCATTACTCATTATTTATCGGCGAGTTTCAGAGCCACTAGGCTGTAGTTTTTGGGTTAGCTGAATTTTGTGTCCGCAAATGCAGGTCTTTTTTTAAAATAGTGCATAATGACATGCGACGGCTACCCAGTTCTTCAAAACGCTGTCTGGTAGACGTCTTAGGGCGCTCCACTACACTTTCACGAACTCTCTCGATATTTTTCGCAGTATGAACAGTTAGAACATGGCCCGACCTTGAAAAGTCTTAAACTTTACCTGTTTGTTCAAATTTCTTGAACTCTGCGCACATTATTTCGACCGAAATCTTGTCGTAGCTTCCAAATCGTTGCAACAATCAACTCATTATTTAAGTAAAACGTTTTAACAATACGGATGCGTTGTGGGATCTTGTAGCGCTCTATGATGAATTTGAACAACTGCAATGCCGACCAGCTTCGGCAATTGTGAGGAGTGAGCTTAAAATTACATTTTTCTCTAATGACTTTTTGGACATGGTATCCCAAGACAGTAGGTAGCGCTGAATCAGTCTTTTCTGCAACTCGAACTGGTAAAGTTTCAAACCCTCTAGCATGTCGCATATTACGATTCAGCTGTATCCATTTAACTTTGCAGTCACAAAAATGCGGAGCGTATATATAGAGCTACCTATTATTATTACTATTTGCTCTATAATGAGAAAAATATGCATTATTCAAAGCCCACGCTAGAAATCGTAAACATAATAACGGCGACATAACTCTCAGAATCCTCGAGTCGGTTGTTAATTCTAAAAGTTAACTTCTGGGCGCAATAATAATAATAAATGTTGCTAGTTAGTGAGTTTATATAGAAGTTGGCTCGGACACAAAGGAACTTACAAATACGAAGCAAAACTGAAACAGCTCTGGGGTGTCGTCTTATTAAGGAAAATCCATGCATATTCATCAGCGTTATGGAAATGTATTTCCGTGTCATCCGTTTCAATCCAATGGGAATATATAATGCAGGGGTGAAGAAATAATCATTTTCTGTCACTCGTATTCAACGTATTGGATTTGCGGGGCTAAGATTTGTTTCGGTTAGATTGGTAATATAGATTGCCTGATTCCATTCAGATTGTATTGTCTTGCCTTGAATTGTTTGCTTTCGATCAACTTGTTGTTTGTCAACAAACTGCAAAAACTCTTTGTAGCTGAATTAACTGTCATTCAAATTAAAGGAAGATTAAAATCGATTGATTGGTTTAGAAGGTGGAGAATCTTGAGCGAACGGCTTTTCGCAACTGTTTACTAGAAAAACTGGTATTGGGGAGTTATGAAATTAGGGAATATGGAAATACTTTGGCTAAAATATTTTAAAATGGTGTCGGTTCTGATTTTACCGGAAGTTGTTTATATAATAAGCGTATAATAAATACCTTTTTGGGTCGCTGAAACCGAATCTAGTGATCACTTAAATCGTTAATGACCCTTTGAAGGAATGTTACAATTTTTAACCTGATAATAGGATGCACATAGTAAATAGGACCAAATACATTAAGGACAACTTCGGAATCGGCCTAAAATTCTAATTCTAGAGGAAATTTAAGACTCTTGCTCATCTGTGACTTGAAAAGTTCTTTCCTAGGTAGATCGACTGCAAGGACTTCAATCTGATGTAAATTTAGTGCTGGCATTTACGGGTGCCTTAGAATCGGTTCCACAACTCTTTCGAATGTTTTCACGATCATATTTGAATTCAACATCGCACCGAGCTTTGATCGCACGGAGCTACTGATAAGTAAACTGGATCCATTTTTTTATTCCGGACTTCCGTTATAAATAAAATTCCCGAGATCACGACGTTTTGATTGATGAGTGGGATATGTGGCTTAAGAGTAGTGGTAATTATCTGTAGATATATTTGCCAATAATTTTTTTCCGGACAAAAGATGGGTTTCAATTGAATGTTTAATCACTATTCTACTATGTTCACTTATGCTTACAGCCAGTTAGCATGCTGAAACGTCAGTTTTTTCTTTCGTACTAATTTTGTCTTTTTTTTCTAGGTACGTACAGAGGACAAAACGCACGTTTCGGCAATTTTTACTCAGTGGGGTAAGTTTTTGTACAAATGGTTGTTGAGTTGCAACATTTGTTACTTAGGTCTAAATTAGATGCATTACTTTCTCTGGACAGGAACTAATTGGTATCTAGTATTGTATTAAACGAAAGTCATATGTATCTTTCAGTTTTGCAGTTTTAGAAGTCTTATGCCATCCTTGCATCCCCTTCTTAACCTCCAGATTTCTTGTCATGAAATAAGTTTTCCTAACGAATATATAGCTTGTACAGTGTGTATAATTAGGTTCAAAATAACGAAGTTATTATTCATTGAAATGGCAGAAAAATGAAGTACTCACTGATCATTTAATAAGAAATTTCAATTATCGCCCGACCAGGTGTTGCCTATAAATACTTTCCGAATGTGTCGCATAGCTCATTTCTTGATCATGATCTTGTTATTACCTGATTTTGACCTTTTATAGCGATACTAACTGTAGTATATTAAGTACGCCCCTGGTTCCCCGAAAATTGCGCATGTACGATGAGTACTCTCACCGGGATACGTTTAACACACAGTACGTCGGGGTTCCCGATTTGTAACAGTTATCGGTGATATATAATAAACCATTAGTATACTTCCGGGTATTATTGATACCAATACCAACTAAGACATTACACTGACCTTTAGTGTTGTTGTGTGGTTTCGATCAATTTCTTTTTTCTGTATTTTAGGTTGATTCATTAAAGGCTGTGTTGTGTTGGGTGCCGTCGTGTGTCAGGCCCCATTTTGTTGTCCTTTGTGCAGGTTTTATTCGGGAGGGTGTGCGTCGGGGGGAGATTGGTTTGGTCGGCATCTCAGTAAGATCTTAATGATGCCAAACACCCCGTTGCTACCACGCAGAAGAGTTTTCTGACGGATGCCCAGCAGGAACACATCACGGAACACCCTAAGTAATTTTGTTTCTTTGTTTGATCGAATCCTGATGCCTCGAGCACCTTTCAGTCTGGTGGAACTATATCTTAACTCAATATAAAGGTAGAAATATGGGTCACAATTCTAGTTATTGTTCTGTCCACCATCGGTTGATCATGTCTGGCTTGGTGCACGGAGAGGAGTAGTGGGGGCTCTGCCTTAGTTTCGGAATGAGATTGGTACATGAGGTTATCCTCAAGTTCAACGAGGATGACGCAAAGCCAGTTTCCACTTAGGAAGTATGGCTAGTGTGCCCATTGCTCTTCGCTTGCTCCTTCTTGGCATGATCTACCGGATTTCGTTTACTTAGGCTTAGAGTTTTTTGTTTCTGGGTGGGAATTTTTGTGTGAGTGTGGATATTCACTTTGATTAAGTATAAGCAGTTTGATTCTTGTCCCTATAGTTTATTGGTAGCTCAGCATTATTTATTATCGTCGGTTATTTACTCTGTAGATACTCTCCTACTCCAAGGAAAGGTGGCTTGTCACATGCCAAAATCACATAACCTTTTTTTACTATTTTAATCACTTACTAGTGAATTTCTCTTTATTAATGGTAGAGTACCCAGTCCTAGGCCAAACCCTTTTCAATGATTTTCTTTTGGTAAATTTCGTAGTGTATTGATTGTATAATTTCACACGTACTTCTTTCTTTCTCAGTGATTCAGTATTGTGTTGGAAAAAAAAACTCTGTGGTTTTTCTGCGATACTTGGTTTTCTATCGAACATATCTTCTTCAGGGCTACTCATTTAACCTTCCTTCACAAAATTAGGTGTTTCGTGTCAGTCACTTTTCTCCTGAGATTGTAGTGTGAGCGCCATTTGTTCAACCTCCAGATTTTTGGATATTAGGTGCCGAAATTCAGTTTGTGGAGTAGTACCCGTTTATATAGTACCTTACCTTTAGTTGTGTTGGTTTGGGTGCTACCCTGTCCATATTCTTATTCCAAAAACGCCATGTATAAATCCCCGATGTCGAAGAGTCGTTATTGGTTTAGAAAACGAGATTCTGTTTTGTACATTGTGTCGTTTGTAATAGTGGCAGAATAATTACGTTAAAACATGGACGGGCACGTCGTGAAACACGAGCGCAACCAAAAATGTTCACGCAGTCAATCCATACAATCCACGCTGTTGCAGCCGCTGCGGGAATTGCAAACATCACCGAATTAAGCCGCAAATGGTCCCTACTGTCAACTCATCTGACCGGGAGGCATTGCTGTGTTGCAATCTGGAATAGAGGGAGTAAACACTGAGTGGAGTGCAGCATGCCTGACACTGAGAGAAAAATGTGTTATGAAATTGGAATGATATTGCTTAACAAAGCAGAGTTCCACTTTTTATGCTATAAAGAACAAATCGACATTTTAGAGAACAGATTGATTCAAGATTCCACGCATCTACAGATTTTCGATTATTTAAAAGTGACTGCATCTTAATTGAAAAATGATCCACATTATAGATGAATATCATGAAGAAATTAGACAAAGTGGGAAATTTCCTCTTTTTTCCAACTCTTTGGAGTTGAGGTTCCAAAAATAGTGAGTGAGTTAGTGTCCTCTTTCATATGCAGGGTATCCTGAAAGTTAAGACCTATACGTTCTGTAAAGGAAAGTCTCAATTCTAGGGATACCCTGTATAGAGACCCCATCCCTTGATAAGTTCTGAAAATGTTAAATAAATTGTTTTGGGCGTAGACTTTCAAGTAGATCCATTCAACGAAAAAAAGTGTCACACATACGCCATTCTTTATTTCGCGCCCTAAGGGGACGAATTTGCAAAACTCCCTTGGCTAACCTACTTAATTTGAAGTTTAACGTTCAATGGTTTCAGCTCTGCGTTGATATGACAGTCAGTACTACTATTCGTCATTTATTTGTCTGGGCGGTCCGTAGGACCTTTGCCCATTAGTCACTGTCTGATGTACGTTAGTCGAATCTGTCAGTCCTGGTTGCCCAGAAACCAGACAAAGTCGAAGAAAAAGAGAAAGGGAAAGAGAAGAAAAAAGGAGAAGAGCAAAGAAAAACAGATATGCTTAGTTTAAGAGGAAACACCTAGGCTTTTTGACTTGGTACACGGATTAATTTTGAGGTGAACTAAACAAATTTTTGATTCGGTTTTGTTAGAGTGTAATTTTGAGTTTACTAAAGATTCACGCTAACTTTTGATTACAGTGCGAGCCGTGGCCTTGAATGTTTACGAACTTGCTCCAGTGTGTAGTCCACTGAGTCACGCAACAGAGGGTTGCTGTGCGATTTCGCTTGACTATAACGTCGCTGCGCCTGAAGCTTGACCCTCAGGTAAGGAATGTCAAGGTCTCTGTGTAGTGTCTCATTTGAGACATACCATGGAGCGTTGCAAATTGTCCGCAAAGTTCTGCTTTGCAGTACTTGAAGACTTTGCATGTGTGTCTTGGCAAGAAAACACCAAGCTGCACATGCATAAGTAATGGCTGGTCTAATAATCATTTTATATAGTCGAACTTTGTTTATCAAACTCAATTTGGAGGATCTACATAACGAAGGATATAGTTGCCGAAACGCAATTTGGAATTTTGTTTTTATGGATGCTGTATGTTTCTGCCAGGTCATGCCTTTATCAAGGCTGACACAGAGATACTTGGCAGATTTTGTCCATGGTACACGATTTCCGTCTACAGAAACCTCTGCTGGGGGGCCGCGACGTTTTTTGGTACAATAAATAGCCTGCGTTTTCGAATGATTAATTTTTATCAGCCACCGTTCTGCCCACTCTAGAACTTCATCCACCGCATTCTGCAACCCATCGTGAACCAGATCACCAGTACACGACTGGGCGACAAGTGCAGGGTCGTCAGCATAGAGGTAGACTTCACAGTTGCTGGGGGAAGGGACATCATGGATGGAGAGCGAATAAAGAATTGGCCCTAGGACCGAACCCTGAGGAACACCGGCCCGTACTGGCCGTGTTTTTGACAAAACATTGTTAATTTTGATCCGAAACTTCCTTCCTTCAAGAAAGGATTTCAGTAATTTTAGAAGCCAAAAAGGAAAACCCTTTTGATTAGTTTATAGAGGAGGCCCGCGTGCCACACCTTGTCAAAGGCTTTTGAGACATCCAAAAGCAAGATGCCAGTACTCATGCTAAGGGTGAACCCTCTGGTTACATGCTCCACCAGCCTGACTGCCTGTAGCTCGGTGCTATGCTCGGACCGAAAACCGAATTGGACGTCAGGAATCATATGGTGATTTGACGAAAAATTCTCAAGGTGACGATAAATCACCTTTTCGGTGAGCTTAGAAGGAGCTGACAGCAGACCTATGGGACGGTAATCCTGAGAAAATATCGAACCCACCTTCTTTGGAATCATGATGACCTCAGCAGTCTTCCACCCAGCAGGGAAGTACTGGATTTTGAGCGTCGCATTGATTATTGTCACCAAGTATGTCAGGGCTTTCGGCGAGAGCAGCTTCAACGCCTTGTTGGTGATTTGATCCTCCCCAGGTGCTTTACGCACCTTGAGGTCTTTAATATGACTTAGTAACTCCGCTGGTGTGCAATGTGGAAACTCGGAGGGTTCCGCTAATGTGCTATGTGGAGCCTCAGACGAATCTTCTGAAGAAGAGCCATCTGAAGAGGATTCAGTGCCTCCGCTGACGCCGTTGGCCCTAAAATATCTCCTGACGGATCGTACGATGTGCTGTTCCTCGTCGAGGTCATTAATGACAGTCAGTGTCTTCTTTTGAGATGATTACAAAAATATTCCTCTCTACAGGTTGATTGATAAGACCATTGCAACGCAAACATATCGAATACCCCTCAAACTTTAGTACATTTTGAAAGATTACAAGAAGTGTAACCCAAAATCCTCTGAGAAATGTGAATTTTGCTTTTATAGAAATCCTGTATAGACAAAGCACGGCTATGAAAACGCGTTTGAAATACGAGAAGCGATAGCTCATTCTGAAGACAAGAGGTAATAGTGTATTTGCAAGAGTGACTTACAAGCTGTCAAAGTTTATTGATTCCTTTTATAAAATATCTCTCTTGCTCCTAAACCAGCAATCCAAACCCCACAGAAAACTTCTTATTTTAAAAAGACCTCCCAAAATAAGCTAACATATACAAGAGATTCTATTTGAAAAATTTATGTGTATTTATGAATCATCAAATAATAATGTGGCATTCGTTTGCCGGAATGACGAACGAAAAAAGGCTAATTAATGCCTTACCTATCTAATATCTACACTGGTAGGTCTTTATGGTCTCCGTTTCTAGTGGGGGCCCTTTGCTGGCCCCAGCTCTTCTCTCACTTATGAGCTCAAAATCAAAAAGGGTGGAACTTAAAGCATGCATGCAAGCACTATGGGGAAAATCCTCGTGGGAGTTTTTGGGTCAATGACCAACAGCAGTTTGTTTTCCAAGCAACGAGCGTATAGTTGCTACAATTTTTGTAATGAACTTTTATAGATATTCATCAAAATAGCGCTTACACAATAAAAGCTCACCTTGCACAACGATACTTTTGGAACATCTAGATTGTCTACGGATCTCGAACACCAATCTTGTATACAAATGCTGGATGAGTAATTTTGTTTCAAATATAAAGACTAACATCTCCCTAACAAAGCAAGATTACCTCGCAGTCGGTCGGTTCGGATTCATTAGCAGAAGCATCAGCCGTAAGCCCTCTTCCGCGAATATACAAATACCTGATGAGGAAGAAATTGGAAAAGTTTTCTAAGTGTTTAATGCCCCTCCTCAATCCCCCGACTGTTTCATTATGGCCGTGATTGCACTTTAGGTTCACCAAGCATCTGCTGTAGCTACCAACAGTCAGTCAGCAGCTACAGAGTGAAGCTAAAATAAATCACGGGTTTGTGACTCTTCCATCCTTTTATTAAGAGTATATTTATTTTTTTAGGTAAAAGTAAGTAGGAGAGCTAGGTCAACCAGACTGCTGTAGCCAGCAAGACTAAAGCGAAGCATAAGTGTGACTCTTCTATTCTTGTAGTGAACCAAACCTTGAAGACGTTTGTCTTTTTGGAATTTGGGAAGGCCTTAGCTTGTCCTAGTATATCCAAAATGAGTCTCATTGGTTAGACGCGCATTCATACTCCTAATGAACGTCAGCCTTATTACGTAAAATAACTGCACTAGGTAATCACCTACGAGGTAAACGTCCTCTATTTGCCTTAAAAGATGCAACCGACATTTCGCTATTATAGCTTGTGGACTGCAAGCAGTCAGGATACTTTTGGGCAAGATGTTACGAAGGGAATGTCGTCGAATATAAAGATATCATTTGGATGTCTGTGTGTATATAAATAAATAGCGTTTAGTGCCTAACAGCTCAGAAAACCATTTACAAGACAATCCTATAAGATAAATCAAACTAACAAAAATGAAAAACATACAAAAAGACAGGTGATTCCATCTAAAGGAAAAAACAAACAAGAAACATGTTTCGCTCAAGTGAGAAACGTATCATAAACATTATTTAAGTAATATCTAGCTACTCCCAGAATTCTGTTCAAACTGTCAGCATGTGTATTAGAATAATTAGATATGGCATTGACATTACATAATTATGGGTGCTTTCAAAAATAAATTTTTGCAAGCTCTGTAACACAATAAAAGGTTTTATAAAAGGTAATATATGCAGAAAACAAAACCAACAGTGACTTTGGCCGGTTGAAGCTTCTGCAGCTTCTCACAATGAAACCATAGATCCACGAAGCTTCACTTGCTTTTTGAGCTATGTGGACTGAAAAATGGTCAAAAAAACACTCCCAAATCCTAAATTGAATTATAACGATTTATGTAAACATCCCCATGAGAAAATTATTACTTTATACCTTGGGAGTTAGGAGTCAGATATGGCCACACATGTAGATTTTGACGCCCAATCCTCCTCCATGTCATTCATAGCCTCTAAGGCTGATTTTAACTTTTATTCCTGTTGTCTTCTTGATGGCTATAACGTCTGATAATGTAGTAGGATTATTTAAAGGCCTAAACGTGTTTATATAACCTGAATTTGAATTTGTTAACAACGGAAGAGAATAATCTGGAAAGTTACAAGTAGCTAGTTAGACTGAAGGTTATGTCTAAGGTTATAAAAATTTCAATTGATTCGGGACGTCAAAAGGTGGTGAAGTCCTCAAAAATAGGTTACCCTCCTAACAAATCCGCCTTTTTCCCATGTAATTTGGACAGTTTGACCTACAGCCACACAAGCTCCGGGTAGCGGGTTCAAAACTTGACACCGCTACCACTGATGCACATTTCACGATGCATTTAAACCCTTACACATATTTTCTATGCCGGGCCAAGACAAATTAACTTCTTTGTTTTGCGCGTCAACGATTATAATTGATATGTTCTGATGATGCAGTAAAGAAACAACCCCGTGTTTATGAAACCTGAATACACGTTTGGATGCACGAGTAGCTTCGTCAGCATAAGCAGTCACGTGGAAAGCAAGCAAGGTTTAACGTATCACACATCGTCTTTGTGAGAAGTGCCAGTTCTTTCTGTTTTTTGGGTGTCTTTATCGATCAAAGTCACATCAGCCGTTGCAGTGTGGCATGAAGTTGTAGCCGAGGTATTGTTAGCTGGTTGCAGTGAGGTAAACAGCTGAATTATTAGAATTTAGAATGACTCTCATCTGCCTAATATGTGAAACAGCAGTTTCTCGGAAACAAGCGTCCATTTTTTGCGGCGGACCGTGCAAAAAAGTGGTACATGTTTCTTGTGTTTATGCTGGTACTGTGGACTTACCTACACTTATCAAACGGATTCCTGGGCTGTCTTGAAGGTGTAATGACTATTCTTTCTTTTGATGTTTCTATAGAGGATACAGATCTTGGTCAACTTGTTGAAAGCAAAATTAGTCATGCCTTGGATTCGATTGTCGTACAGATTAATGAACTTAAGTCGACTGTGGAACAAGCTGTTCTGCAGAATCCTGATGCTTCAAGTGTTAGCAAACCCACCTCATATGCCAGTGACTTAAGGAATAAGACGGTTCCTGCTGTCATAATTAAGCCTAAAGAAGCACAAGTTACGTCAAAAACGAAGACTGATTTTCTCCAGAACGTGAATTTAGTTGCTGATGAAATTCGTATATCAATGATGGTGGCGTCCTCATTGGCTGTAAGAGTGCTGAGGGCAATCTCAAACGGAAGAAATTGATCAAAAAAAAAATGGTTGGGTCCTATGATGTCAAAGATGTTGGTGGTGTCAATCCAAGGGTTCGTATTATTGGTATGATCTCGGAATATTCTGCTGAGCATCTGCGCAATCAATTAATCAATATGTACTTATTAGTAATCCAAATGATTGTAAAATAATAAAAATTCTTCCTTTCAAGTGCGATATGCAAAATATCAGGCTGTTGTTCAAGTAGATAAAACTTCATATGTGAATATGCTGAAGGCAGGCAATGTATTCATTGGTTTAGACTGCTGTAGATATTTTGATGCTGTGCAAGTATCTCGTTGTTTCAACTGCAATGGATTTAATCATTCTTCTAAATTATGTAAGAAAGAGCGCTCGTGCCCGAGATGTGGGGAAAACCTCGCTGTCAAGGATTGCAAGTCTGCTACTTTAAAGTGTATCAACTGCGTTTTTCGACGAAGCAAAGGTGAGCTTAACGTTTGTACTAATCACGCCGCCTGGGATATTAAAAATTGCTCCTCTCACTTACAAGCTTGTAGCAAGTTGCGAGCCGATCTGTTAAGTATAAAATAGCAACCAATTGCCTTTGACTCTAGTTCTTGCACCTTGGAACCCACAAAAAACTCTCCAGAGCTCTCTGTTTATTATCAAAATGTAACAGGCCTGAGAACTAAAACTTCTGCATTCTGCAACGGCACGTTTGCAGCTGATTTTGATTGCTATGCCCTATCTGAGACCTGGTTGGACTCCTCAGTTAATAATTCTGAATTATTTAACCAGAACTACAATGTGTGCAGAAAAGATAGAAATCTTTCTCTTGTAACACGTGGAGGTGGCGTACTTTTGGCAATCACGGATAAATTTTTCTCAGTCTGTTTAGATGTGCAATGTAACTTACCTGCTGTGGATATTCTTGGAGTAAAAACTGTATTTGGGAAAAGAAGTTTATTCATTTTGGTGTTGTATATCCCACCTACGGAACCTCTTTCTACATATGAAACTGTTTTTGAATTAGTCTGTGCAATTCATCCCTTGTATGATGCCAATATTTTGATTCTGGGTGATTTTAATATTTCTAGTTATGCGTCATATGTGCTAAGTGGTGAGGAATCTACTGTGGTTAGTAGTTTGCTTAACTTATGCATTTTTTATTCTCTTGAGCAATATAATTACGTTTTCAATTCTAACATGAGACTTTTAGATATTGTTTTATGCAATTTCATGTGTAGTGTTGATAAATGCAGCGATCCCATACTGATGGAGGATCAGCATCACCCGGCGGTAGTTGTCTCCATTAATGAATTGCTTCCCAAGCAAGAAATTCAATTTGGCAGAATGGTGCCTAATTCTTTCAACTTCAGAAAATCTAATATCTCTTTATTGTATGATCAACTATTCTGCACCCATTGGAACTTTCTCGATAGCATTCATGATGTTGAGGAAGCGTGTGAACAATTACATGCTGCATTGAATGTAATTTTTTCTTTGTGTGTCCCAAAGTACTCCACCACCAGATGTCGTAGACAATTCCCGCCTTGGTTTAATGGTACCATAATAAAGGATATCAGAACTAAGGAAATATTGTTTAGGAGGTTAAAGTTAAATTCTGAGAAATGATTACAAAGTGCATGATTACAAAGCTTTGAGACTCAAAATTAAAAAGGATATCGATATTGCTTATACAGACTATGTAAAAAAAGCAGATGATATAAAGCGAGACCCGTCAAAGTTTTGGTCATTTGTCAACAGCAGAAGAGGTCATGGCTCTATACCTAAGAATGTGACTGTTTGGATATAAGTGAGCCTCAAGATATTCTAAACAGCTTTGCAGACTTTTTCAGTAAATCTTTTATTGCTAGCTCAAGTGGCAAAACCAACTCCACTCATTCAACTGGAAGTAGTCCTGTAACAGTGACTGAATTTAATGTGAATGAGGTTTATGATGCCTTGAGAAGAGTAAAGCCTAAATTAACTTCTGGTCCAGATGGCATGCCGGCTTTTATATTGAAAGACTGTGGATCTGTATTTGCGAAGCCTTTAGCAACGATATTCAACTTATCGCTGCAAAATGGTAAATATCCATCATCGTGGAAAGTGTCAAAAGTTTGTCCTGTTTTTAAAAATAAGGGTAACAAGAGCGATATGGAGAATTATAGACAAATCACGATAATTAACAACTTTTCAAAGGTTTTTGAGTTTCTTATATATGATGCAGTTTACTGGCATGTGCATAATACTTTATCAACTCAACAGCACGGCTTCATGAAAAAACGATCAACTGTGACAAACTTATTCTGCACTGCTCAGTATATATCTGTAAATATACAGTATATTCAGATAAGAGATAGACCGGATGTAAACAAAAGGTTCGGGTGATTTTCACGCTAACGCCGCCGTCTCGACGTAAAACAGGAGCCCTCATTGGTCAATTCGCAATTAAATGCCTATGCCGAGCGGCAGAGCAGTCGTATCAAGGCAGAGTCACATTCAGGTTCAGACGTGTTACGTATGTCGTGTGCATCATTGCAATTTGATATTTCTTTGGACGTTTTCGTTTGTTATCTTATTAAGTTGTTGAGTTTGTCGTTGTTATTGTTATACCTTGTTATTGATTGTTATTGTTATCAACTGCTTGCGCAAAATGCCCAGTAGTACAGATACTGCCGATGAAGTTGTAAACTCCTGTAGTCCACCTAGGAAACGCTCTAAAAAAAGACACCTGAGTGCAGAAATGAAAGAGGTCATTTTGAATATATATAAGATCGAGCGCGAGGAGAACGAGGCATCAACCATCAAAGAAATTGTTGTGAAGGTTTCTCACAAAGTTGGGGTGTGTCGCGCATCAGTGTTTAATGTGTTAAGACAATACAAAAAAAATCACACCTTTTCTGAGCCAATGACCAGTAAACATCGCAAAAGTATTGTTAAATCATTGGATGAAGCTGATAAGCATGCGATTAGGAGGAAAGTGCATGAATTCTTCTTTAGGAATGAAATACCTACTATAGATAAAGTACTGCAGGAGGTAAATGGAGATACAACGTTGCCAAATTTCAAACGATCAACTTTCCATGCGTTACTGAAGCATTTAAATTTCAAATGGAAAAAACGGGATCGTAATAGTTTACTACTGGATAGAGAAGAAATTGTGCTATGGAGGAGGGATTATTTAACAAAAATTGGGAAATATAGAAATCAAAACAGGAAGATTTATTACCTTGATGAAACGTGGGTAAACGCAGGACAGACTACAAGTAAAGTATGGGTTGATGATTCTGTAACTTCATCCAGGAGGGCCTTTCTAGATGGACTGTCCACCGGATTAAAAAATCCAGCAGGTAAATACGAGTAATAGACAACAATCGGATGTTTTTCAAACCTTGGGAACAAGGTTCTAAACATTAATTCCAGGGGGCAGATAACACATATTACAAGTAACAAAACTTTTATAACTTTCGATAAAATGCGTGGATGTTTAATTGTCATTTTCATTTGTTAGAACTTTTTTAAGCCATGTTTTTATGTGTTTTCGATATTTCAATAATTTTTTAATATAATCTTAAAATATGTCGAATATTATAAACTTAAAAAAAGTTACTAAGTTTTATATTGTGTACCGTTCCTAATATTTCTAATCATTTTAATTCATACTTTAAGCTTTATAAAGTTATAATTTGTTAATATTAATATTTGCGCGTATTTCAGGTTCCTGATCATTCATTTTTTAAAGGTTTATAACTTTAAATTAAATTGTGAAGCGCTGAGTAATCATACGACGTTCAATATTCTTTCTTTCAATATGACTAAATAATCCTAATTAAAGCAATCTGATACTCATGTCTCAATGTTTTTTCGCTGAATGGGATGAAAAAATTTGAAAAAGGTTCGCTTATTGAAATAAATCTACACCAGTTAGTACTTCGATTTCCAGGTAAAGGGAAAAGGCTCATTATCTGCCATATTGGCAGTGAGGATGGATTTGTTGTTGACGGTCTGTGGTGCTTTGAGTCTAAGAAAACTGGAGATTACCACGAGGAAATGAATGGCGAATCGTTTGAACAGTGGTTTTCAAAAATTTTACCGAACTTAGAGGAAAACGCAGTAATTGTGTTGGATAATGCGCCTTATCATTCTCGAAGAATGGAGAAGGTCCCAACAACAAGCAATGCTGAAAGTACAATTATTAAGAATTGTCAAGGATCACAAGGCGGAATATCAAAAATACGCCATTGACGAAATGGCAGCAAGTCAAAATAAAACTGTGCTCCGTTTACCTCCATACCATTGCGAGCTCAATCCCATTGAGCTCATATGGGCAGAGGTTAAAAATTATATAGCTAAGCACAATACAACTTTTAAATTTTGTGACCTCAAAGGACTTTTCAAAGAAGCACTAGAATTAATAACAGCGCAAAAATGGGAAAACTGTATTAAGCACGTGAAAGACAAAGTTGAAAAGAGAATGTGGGAACTGGACAATATTTTAGAGGTGGTCGAGCCATTCATTATTGACGTTGGTGCTTCAGGCAGTAGCGATGATGAAAGCTCATCAAGCTCATCTTTCCAATAAAAGATGTCGTTCATCAAATTCGGTAAGTTATAAGTAATTATAAAGCTACTGTATTTTTTATTTAATTATTGACATTTTTGAACCCATTTTGGCAAAACCTATTCAAGAATCTACTTTCTGACAATGTTCAACCATGCACATTTTTTTACGTTTTGAACGTATTAATTTGGTTACATATTTACCTAGAAATCAAAAAATATACTAATCAATAGTCTAAAAGCAATTTTAAGAGATATACGATTATTTTTAATTTAGGCTAATTTAAACGCCATTTTGAGATTATGTTCGACTGTATTTCACCAAACATCAGGCGGCATCCGAAGCTGGAAATCGAAGCGAAAATTTTGAAGCCCTTATATATATTTACATCATTATATATTTCTTACCCCACCCCCACATGATCCTATATCGATCACCAATCGTATACACATCGAATTGTGCTAATTTACTACAAAGTTACGCAAAGCAGCATCTACTATCTAAAATATGTACTGCGTGACTCTTAATACGTCCCTGCCGAATGTTACAGCGTTCGATGATCACGTGGTCTTGTTTATGTCCGGTCTATCTCTTATCTGAATATACTGTAGGTTCTCGTACTCAAGTGGACGCCATTTATAATGATTTTTCAAAGGCCTTTGACCTAGTAGATGACAGCATTCTTCTCGACAATTTAGCTGACCTTGATGTCATTGGCCATCTTCTCCTGCTTGTTGAATCTTATTTGTCAAACAGAGTATATTTTGTTTCGCACAATGGCTTTAAATCTAACACTTATAAAATTGCATCAGGTGTTCCCCAGGGGTCTGTTCTGGGACCTTTATTTTTCATTATTTTTATAAATGACATTGAACTACAATTGGATGTCACTTTTCTTTTATATCCGGATGACCTGAAGCTTCTCTGTCCCAATCAATCTCTAACTGACTGTGAAAAGTTACAGCATAACGTAAACATGCTCAACTGCTGGAGTCAGGAAAATAGTTAGCCATTGAATGCTGAGAAGTGCAATGTGGTCAGTTGTACGAACAAGACACAGTCGATCATATTTGGCTATGATATTGGTGGTGTGCCCCTCAATCGATTGCATGAAATAAAGGATTCAGGTGTCAATTTCAACAGTAAATATTGCTTCAATGGTCATATGGATTCAATTATTGCAGAGAGTTACAAAAAGCTGGGCTTCGTCATACGCTGTGGTTGCGAGTTGCAGGATATTAAAACAATTAAGCTTCTATATAACTCACTTGTAAGATGGAAGCTTGAATATGCGGCAATTATTTGGAGGCCTCCTACTGCTTCTGGATAGACAAACTCGAAAATATCCAACGGCGTTTTTTGAAGTACCTTTTAAACTTTAAAGAAAATGGCATCTACCCACCGATTGGCTATCCACAAGAGTCTTTAAAAGAAGCTTTCGATTTTCTAAGTCTTAGGGAGAGGCGTGATAAGTGCAGTGTTAAGTTCGTATTGATTGTTGCAATATATTGCATGATTTTAATTTTCTTGTCCCGCGTCTGAATGCTAGACAATGCAACACCTTCTATTTGCCTACCCCTAGAACAAATATTTTAAAGTTTGCTCCATTGTATAGCTCATGTAGTAAAGCGAATGACATTGCGGATCAATTAGATATATTTCTCTGACGGCTTGTGTGGTGCGTGGTTCCTTATGATGTCTTGTCTGCTATTTGCTATTTAATTTTTTATCTACACTGCCATTTTTGTAAATATTTGTATATATAGTATCCTTGTGATTGAACTTCCTATATTTGCCTGTAATATG